GAAACAGTGTTGAAGTTGGGAGGAGCTGCTGAACATTTGATTGACTGTAGCGAAAAACGCATTTGTTGGTAAAGCTTTGAATTTTTAGAGTCCACGTGTTATTGAAATCCGCAGTAATAATAGCATCTTGTGTCATAGTCCATAATGTAAATTACTATCTTTAGCAAGGAATCCACATCAGCCTTAGCAGCTGGTTTTCATGCTGATCCTCTAGCCTGGTGGAATTGGAATTTCTGTGGAAAGAAAAAGTATATACTGTAATGACTCGATTTAGCACCCTCCTTCCAATAAGTGCCCTCTTTCAAATAAGTGCCCCCCTTCAAATGTGCTTTTATTAACCCATTGACTCCTGGAGCTTCTTGCCAAAAACATATTTTTTTGGACATTTTGGAGATTTCCAGGCTAGATATGGGCCAAATTAGCTCCAATCTACTCAAAAAGGCATTTGCAACATAACAGCATCCTTTGTTTCCACTAGCATCGCGTTTTATGACATTTTTGCTTGGGCATGCACAGAAATCAAAATTTTGAGAGGGGTTGTTGGACAAGAAAGTGACCTACGTCTTTAGGCTTTTCAATTTTTTTTTTCATCTTTCCTTTTTTTCCTTATCTTTTCTTTTTGCTGCAGTGATTGACCATCTACTGGGCTTGCTTCCAGTTTAAAACATTCTGAGAAAGCATCATCGAGACAGGTGATTTTTGCCAAGGAGTAGCCACGTGTAGTGGCAGGGAATTTTGCTCTGAATTTTTCACTCAACTTTTTGTCAATTTTTGTGCGTATCTCAGGCTCCATTGGGCAGATCACTCTGATCTGGGTATCATTTGAAAGATCTTTTCCTCCTGCAGAAATTGAGCATGGATGATGCCAATTTTGGTCAAAGGTGATTATGTCAGAAGTGGAAGAAAGGTCAAGGCTTGTCACGGCCGGTTATGGCCGGCACAGGAGTCAATGGAATAATGAGCACCCCTTTTCCAATAAGCCTCCCCTTCTAATAAGCATCCTTATTCTAATTATCATGTTACAGCACCATCAGAGTACGCATCAATGGAGCTTCATCTTCCTTGATTGCTCACATATGTAATATTGTTATTGTCCCTTTTTAAATAAAACCGTATTAAAGTTTTGTTTTGAATATTTGGTTGTTTCTCAAAAAAGACATAAGCCCCCTGTCCTGAATAAGTGCCCTGTCTCTAATAAGTGCCCTCCCTTGAAGTACAAAAAGTGAATAAACGCCCTGGGTGCTAAATCGAATCATTACAATAACAGTAATCCCAGATCACCTGGTGGTTAGATACACATGTGTTTTAAAATTTTATTGATTTGGGTTGAAATAGGGGGCTCAATAAAAAGACTTTTTGCTGGAATGTATTCTGACCTGTAATTAGTTGAGGTTGTTCCAATACAATGTAATAGAGACACTTAACTCCAGCTAGACCTGGGTCTGAGTAAAGTTTGTCTGAAATTTTCCCTTCTCCCATACTACAGAATAAAGAATTCTTGCTTCTTATAAATTAAGAAATGGGAAATATGAGGGAATGACAAAGTTACGTGGACTGTAGAAACTTACTTGTACCTGCACTAATTTTGAGGCCTTTTTTCAGGGTATTTCAGATGTATCTTGGTCATCAGATTCAAAGCTGCTTGTTTCTGCTTCAGATGATAAAACTCTGAAAATTTGGGATTTTGCCACAGTAAGTTTTATGACAGCTTTCAAACCCTGACTCTTAGACTGAATAAACAAGGTTCAGCTTTAAAGCCTAAATTAATTCATTCGAAACTTCATCCAAATATTTGTTATTTTCTACTTTTTTTTACATGTACATAACATGTATTTTGCTAAGTGCCTGTGTATACAGGAATATTTTCACTTTCAGTGAAATAAAAGTTGTTTAATTTTAAAACATGCAGTATGTATTGTTGTACAATGCTTAGGATGTCATGTTCTTTTTACAGGGAAAATGTCTTAAGACACTCAAGGGACACAGCAATTATGTGTTTTGTTGTAACTTCAACCCTCAATCTAACCTCATTGTGTCTGGCTCTGTGAGTATTACATGTGATACTGTTTATGTATAAATTAATTATTTTATGTTTAAATTCTACATGTAAAGTACAACAGTAGAACTCTCAAGGAAACAAAAAAATAGTTTAAGATGGTGAGGGTGTGTGATAGACAGGACTTTGGACAGGTTGTGCTGCTCAACTTTGAAACTGCTTTGTTTTCTTGTACTAGTTTGATGAGAGTGTACGCATTTGGGACGTCAAGACAGGAAAGTGCTTAAAGACATTACCTGCTCATTCAGATCCTGTTACAGCGGTAAGAAGGAATGTTTGAATATGTAAAATTTAGTGCTAGCATTAGTATTTTTTGTGTTTACAACAAGATTGCAAAAAAGGTTTTATTACTTCTTTAGACTTTTGTGAAATTTGCCTTATAAGTGACAATCATTTCAAAATACAAACTATTTGCAACATACACGTAAATTATAACATACTAAAACTTCAGTGTTTCATGTATCTCTTGTGACAGTTG